AGATTGGTGTCTGCAGCAATCCGAAAGCTGTTTCATGGTGCCGTTCACGCATTCCGTCCAGTAAGAGAGGCCAAACGCTGCCAACCACGTGTGAGGTCAGCCGGGACGTTATTGTCAAGGTCTTCTTGCGGGCCATTTTGGCCCAAGCATTTTGGCTCAAAGCTCAAATTCCCCACTCGAGGGATTGTCCGGGACCGCTAGTTGCTGCGCACCTGCCTCGCGCATGGTGTGGGGAGCGACCCTCGTCGTGGCCGCGCTCCGATGGGGGCTACATGCGGTGACCGCGTCGTTGCCCACAGCGGTGCACTTGTCTGCGGCGTGTCGAGAAGCTGCCGTGCACGCAGCGCTGGCCTGCCTCGTTGGAGCACCCCGCTACTTTGTGCCGGGATGGGGGCCGTGCTGCTTGTGCTGGGGTTGGCTGTGTGTGGGGCTCCTGCTAGGTGCGCTTCCTTGTGGGCGCCATCGCTCCTGCACCCGGTGCGTGCGCCATCTTGGACAGTAGCGGCGGCGGAACTGCTGGCCTGTGTGGCGGCAGGAGGCGAACAGGAACTTGCCGAACTGGCAGCGTCCCTGGGACCGACCTGCTTTGCAGCATCTTGCGAGAGGCGGCCGAACCACCACACGTGGCTCGCGCCCCGTCGCAAGCAGTGCCCCGCTGTCAGGCCCGCGAGCTTACCGGCCGCGGCAAGCGCACCACTGCCACGCATGGCCCGCAGGGCGCCCACACTGTGCCCTCCTCAGGACGCGGCGAGCCCAGGCAATTGGCGCCCTTGTCATAAATGCGCCTTGCGCTGCGCCTGGGCCAAGCCCCCTTCTCATGGCGGCATTGCGCCATCTCGCCCCCAAATTGCCGCCTGACTGTCTTTCAGGCGTACTGGGAGCACGCACTGCTTTCTTCCAGCGCGCCTCCTCGCGGAAGCGGACGGGGGTTGCCCACTTGTTTGGAAAAGGGGAGGGGGGGGGCGGCCCGAAAAAGACGCGCCATTTTTCTGCTCAGCCACCCTGTCTGGCAGGAACCCAGCCAAGCATTGCAGTTGCAGACTTTGACCTTGGAGCTTTTGACATGCACCTCACGCAGCATCAACCCTCACTGCCCCATCGGCCCCCTACCCTACTGCCGCAGCCTTTTCCTTGCTCCGGTGTAGTCGTGGCCTGTGCCCCATGGCTCAGTGCAGGATTTGCCGCTTCCGCGACCGGGTGGGGGGAGGTCTCTGTGACCCGTGCGCCCACTTCCGAAGGGTGCAATCTCTTATACAAGGGCGGGCGCTCCCTCCGTGGCACACAGCGGCAGCAGCTTCACTTCTCCAAGGTGTGGCGGACGCGCTGGATTCCATGGCCGGAGCGACGCCAAGACAGCCGCAGCCGGGCCGGAGCCCTTGCCTCGCCGTCACACCAGGGCAAGGGCAAGTCGGGCAAGCACCGTTCCCTTGGCAAGAAGACTGCAGGCAAGGGCAACGAGGCGGGTATGGATGTCGCAGTGGCACGCGAAGCGGCCAGAGCTGTGCGGCAGACGCAGCCGTGGCAGCCATGCGAGGCCGCTGACAGTGAGCGACCTCCCAAGGGTACTTTTACAAAGCATGCAAGCCGCGGCTGCCACTATGGGCGGCCACGGCTTCGCATAAAGTTTTTAGTGTGCAGACTGCTCATGACCAGCGAACCCCCATGCGAGGAGCCCAAAAATGGATGCACCGTGCATGCTTGCTGTAGGTTGCCGGCGCCACACCCGCACCGCGGCCGACGCGTAGGAGAGGCAGCGAACCCGGGCCCCGCCGAGGACCAGGACAATGCCGTTCAGCATCATCATCGTGCGTTGCGGGCGCTCGCGCAAATGGGCCTCACGCGGCCAGCCGACCTGGATGAGCGGCCAGGCTCGCCCCTGTCCCCACCTCCTTACACGCTGAGTGAGCACACGCCCCTGGCGACCCCACGAGGTGACAGTGATGGCGTGGCCCCCACCTGGCCGGACGCCAATAATGATCTCGCGCCCCCGGCGCCGCACACACGCTCACAATTGTCCACGACAGATCAAGATACACTGACCGCACGCGAGATGCTGGGCGCGGTGGCGCTGCCCGCGGCTGGGGATATCACACCCGGATATTCGCCTTCCGCGGTGGAGTGGCATGTTGGCACTGGCGGTGCAGCAAGCAGTTGCCAGCGGCGCTGGGACCAAAGAGGCCCTGATCGCAGCAGCCATGATGAGCAGTCGCTACAGAACTGGCATATTTTCAAATTAGGTCGCCATCCTACAATCCTGTAAAATACTCGTACTTGTTCCCCGATTTCCCCGACCGGGGGCCGAAGTTTTCTAAAAGACCAAGCTCTTACGTTGCCTTTCCGGTCCCTCGCTTCCCCAAACCACTTGTGGAAGCGCAGGCGCGCCCAAGCTGACGCCGCGGCGCGGCGGGGAGCTGGCTTGGGCATGGAGCGCAGGCGTAAAAGTCGGCCAAAAAAGAAATCAAGCAACAATTTACATGCATCAGCGCTGTGCTGGCATCGCACCACTTTTTGGTTCATGCGGAACCTGAAATGCAGGTATCAACTTCCATTGCTCATCGCAAACAATAAACAACTTTTCAACAAAGGCATTACTTGAAGGCCAGGGGATATTTCCGACAGCATGGTTGGTTTTTCCACGATGAACAGGACGACGACATCCCAATCCCCAGGCTCTCAACTCAGATCAACCACACGACGCCAGCCTTCCAACTTGCAGCATCGCATTTTAATCCGCAACAATCAGTGAAAGCAAAGAGGCCGTGGATTAGCTTTGACACATTGAAGGTGACTTAGGCAAGACAGCAAGCACGTTTGGGCAAACACCTTCTTATGGAAAAATGATGTTGCAGATCCGAGCCTCTGAAAATCAGAGACCGGCACAGAATCCGTAAGCTCAGGAAAAGTATCGACCCAAGTTAGGTCGCTTGAAGGATGCCAATGACAATGTTGTTGACAGTGACACGCGCAAATTGAAATCTTGCCTCCGGACACCTGCCGTGTGAAGACGCCTTTCGTGCAGACTCCAACGCTCCTGCGAATACGTGGGGCCAACAGAGAACCGACTCCTGCAGTCTCAACTGGATCAAGCTCATTGGCTCCGGGAGAAATCAGCAAACAGCCAGGCGGCGTCGCGGATGATCCCAAGCGCGAAGTGGAGGGCTCGCCGGAGCTGTGCTTCGCAAAAGGCGGTGGGGTTCCGAGAAAGGGGTCCAGACTGGCAAAAGATGCCGCGCAAGCCGTCCGCTGCTGTGGTGCGCGGGGCGGCAGTGGAGGGCTTGGCGGTGGAGTGACCGGTGATTGGCCAGCAGGATTGGGATGGTGCGTGGATGTGGTGGAAACCAAGCTGGCGGCACCCGAAAAATTGGCGCGCAAGGTGAATGAGGACCAACTGGTGACATGCCAAGAAGGCTGCTGGGCCCCGCCGCGCTGCGGGACGCAATGACGCGCTGCAGGGGCTGCCTTGCAGCAAGCCCGTCGGGCCAAGGAGAGGACATACCCTGAGTTTGCCGGGGCTTCTCGTAGTCTCGCTCAATGTTGGTGGCCGCTGGAAGTCAGAAGCCGCCAGCTTCATCCGCCTCCTCGCCAGGGCCCGTGTCCGGAACGGCTCTGCCTCCTCATATGGTCTGCCCTCCTCTTATTTGCCGCTGCACGCTCTTTCGCCGCCATTCTCCTGTCTTTCCTTCTCATTGGCACCGCCAACGTTGAAGGAACTTCGCCCCTCCTCAGCGAGTTGCTTGCGGACTCCACCGCCCCTCCGCCATTTGCCAGCCGCCTGCCATAGCCGCGAAAGCCTGCTTGGAGCGTGTGCCCTGGACTTGGCCTTGCATTGGGGCCGATTCGCATGACTGCAAAAAGGGCCGCCGAAAAAAAAATCAGATTGGACAACCAAATTTGGCATCATGAACTTGACGTCATGGTGTCTTCAAGTGGCGTCTGGGTGCATCTGCAGCGATTCCGGGATTTCTTCTTCTTGCGTATAACTACGCTCGAAGCTCGTGATTGACACCTTAGTTTTGGCCTCAAGCTTTGCAGCCCTAACGTCGGGCTCTTCGATGTTTACTTTATCCTCAAGTTGTTTCCATTCACCATCTCTGAAAACCCAATTTGTTCTAATCACCCCCTGCTAACAGGCTTGGGCGCAGGCGTTCTGAGCACCTCAGGTGCTTCACCCAGCACCTCGCGATCCTCTCGCTATAGGGAGGCTCACTAGTAAAAGCCCGAGTTGTTCTCACTTCGGAGCACAGGTTGCGCTGCCGCCCTGACCTTCTGAGGATTCTCCTCTGCTTCGGAATCCTTAACAGCGGAGGCCCACGAATCCAAATCGCCGATTACTGGCACTCTACCTGTCATTCTGCAACGCAACTTGCGGCCATTTGGCGTGATCAAGTAGGGGGCCTGTCTCCTCGGCCAGTGAAAGTCGAAATCGTCGTCCATACACCTTCTACCTACGTAGCATACCGGAGGGAAGCCTCAGCCTCAACAATGGGAACACTGGAATAGTACATAGCATGAGCATGTCTGCTAGTGAGATCTTCTTCACTCCCAATGTCAGCAGGGCCATTTAGTGGAAACACATGACATCTTCCAGGCGATTTCACAATGTTCACCGGTGGGCCCGCGTGGCAGAGATTAACAGCTCTCGCTGAATTTGCGTCTCAGTTTGAAATGCTGCCCTTGCCACTTCTGCGTGACCTTCCCCAAGTTTAGGCTCCCATAAATTGTAATGTCTTTGAGGCAAATGATGGAGCGATTGCGCGGTTGCCACGCTGGCCGCTAGTAGGGCGTTCCGACAGCTACGAGTTGCTAGCACTATCCCATGCGTTTTGCAGCGTCGGCTTTGTGACTTGGCTTCAATGTTGGCTCACACTGCAAGCGCTTCAGAGCTCTTCAAATACATGATAGCCCTATGCCCAGGTCAGAACGAACATGTACGAGTTGTGCATTCTTTTTTGTGTTGCTGTGCTATGCATCATGGCACTCGCGGCCAGTGACACAGCATCTCACTTCGGCAGCAAGTAGTTGATCTGGTCCTGGCAGCTGCTGCCCCTCCCATGCGCAAAAGTACGAACATCCAGGCAGGTGCAAGGTGCCTCAGTGGCTTCAAAGTCCACTCTTGACTGCAAGAGCTTTTGCATCTCGTCAGATGTAAGCCGCCAGGTCCTGCCAGCAGGTGACTATACCAACGCAGAAAAGAAGCAAGATGAACTATGTGCAAAGCATCTTGCCCGGCAACCGTACGGTTCCGGCCGGCATAAGTTGATAACATGCAAATCACAACACACCGGTATGTCTCCTCAGGTCACTACACAACTCGCGCAGCTCGTCCAGGCTTTCCAAATTCAGCCTGAAAGCATGTTTCAAAAAGTCTTTGAGCAGGCGGTTCGCGCAGCTGAGTTCAAGACAAGCTGGACATCTCGAACAACCTTGCGAACTTGTGCCTCAAGGCCTCAGTTGTTTTCATAGGCTGCAAGCCCCTGCGTAAGGACGGCAAAGAACCCTGCAGATCCTGAGTCTTGTGAGACTGAAAAATGAACCCAACTTCAAACCACTGCTCACGGTGGCCTGCTCGCTGACACTGGTGAAGAAAGAGCAAATCGCTCGGACCTCGCAGACTGGGCATTTCCACCTTTCCAACTCCATGCCCTTTAGTCACTTGGCACAGGACGTCGCTCTCGAATTGCAGGGCGCCGAACAGGCTGAAGTGCTTGGAGAGGGCAGCCTGCTTATGCATTGAACCATATTGAACCACTATTCAACCGTATCCTCAAGGGAGGCGCAGGCATATGCTCAACAGAATTTGAGCTGCAGGATTAGTCCATTACGTCTGTGCAATGCGGGCAGAAAACGAAGCAGAAGGGGAGGCCTTTGCTTTAGCCAGTGAATTTATGTCCAGCTGCTTGACACTCTTGCTGGGCAGTTTCCTAGCGGACAGTGCACTAGGCAGAGGGAAACTACAAGCTGCAGGCAGAGCTACGTTGAGAAGGCTGATGCAGCCACACAGGATGAGAGGGAAGAGGTATTTTGACTGTTCAATGAACACAGAGTCCAGGCCAAGAAAACTCCAGGCAACTACGGAAAGAGAAAAATCCACCAGGGAAAAGAAAGCCATCAAGAGAGGGGCAGCGGCTCTTCACCCACTCAAATTTCCACACGGAGGGAGGGACCGGGGAAGGTGGACGTTTGAAAAGCACAGGCATACACAAACGGGCTGAAGCCAAATGACTGCAGCAGGCAAGTACGTGCTGCAGCCTTCCGCTGCGTCTTGAGCTCAAACAAACAGACATTGACATGGGATTGTATGTTCTACAAGACAATTGCGCTGAATCTCTGCACTAGCGGCAAAACATGAAGTCCTGCTGCTTTTTGCAAGGCTCTCATCAATTCTTGAAAGTCCTTACTCGTATACAAAGCACACTGAGAGTCATTCTATTTGATTTCGGGCTCGACTGTTAAAATCATGGCCGAAATTTGAGCATGAATCTGACCACTCCTGGGAGAGTGATACTTCTGTGTGTAGAGGTTCGAAATCAGTTGGGTTACGTCGGATGTTGCCATTACTACACTACTACCTGGAAAGTCTTTTGATGCCGTACATAGCCTACTTCTGAAACTAGTCAAGCTTATTTTGCAGCTCACCCAGTGTAGTAGTGTTAGATGCGGGTGAATATTTTCCAGCGATGGGGGCACATAGATTGAATTTGGCAATTTAATGAAGACTTACAAGGGAGCAGACGCTTTTCAAGAATGGGCGGCTTCCCACTCTGACAACTTTCAGTCAGGCTGTGTATCGGCTTAAGGCCTTCACGAAGATGATGTGATTAGAGCATGAACTTGGCTTTGATGAGGACATCTACAAAACCAAATACCACTAGAAGTGATTGAAGTATTCATCGAATTTGACTGATTGGCTGATGTGGCTTCAGTTTTAAGGACCTTCCTAGAATTAGTGGAGCTCACTTGCGTTCATAAAAGGCGTACTTAGTGAAGGAGCCTAAAGTCTCTAGGAATCGGTGGATTTGTAAGCGAGTGTCGTCGGCTCGAGAGTAAGCTTCATACAGAATCTTGGATCTTCCGGGAATTGGGATTGATTTCATGTTTAGGCTCATCACAAACCTTCCGTATCAGCGGAAGCTTTGAGGGAGATTCATTGATTGACCGATTGGTGCAACCTTAACCGTTTTTGAATGTTTCTTGGGTGGGGGCCACATCATTCGACAGACGCTTTAAGAAACACGTGTTTTGCAAGTTGTCCAGCCTTGTTGTTGCTTACTACACACTTACACTTTTGAACATGTACTATACTACAGAGGGCCTTTGTATGCCATCGGTCATTGTCCTTTCTTTGGGCAGTTGTGTCTGTTGACATCAGACTTCCTTATGTTGTTTGAAACAGTGCAACGCCTCACGCATGTCCATTGCCACTCTTCACTTACCCGCAGTGGTCACATTCAAGTATGGAGATACCATCTTCTAGACTTGAACCTTGGACACAATAACAGGCACAGCGGCAATCATGCAGGAAGATTTTTCCAAAGGTCCACGACAGATGCTGTAATATCTTTGTGCCGCGCTTTCTGTATCAGTTGAGTTCAAGATTTCGTGATTGACAAACACAATTGAGGTGGCAAGAGCTTGATGTCCAAATACTCACGGGGCATCATCATCTCACCTGATTCTCTGTTTTCTCTTGCCCTCGCCTTGTTTTTTTGATACCTTATTAAGTACACGTACCAGGCATGCTATGCTATTTCCGTTTGTGGCTCATCTAAGAAGTGCAAGTGCATCAGACATTGCTGTCAAGTATATATTGTTGTCAAGTATCTCCACCTAAACGCTTTATAGTGTTTGCCTGTCATGTCCTGCTTCCAGTTCCTTACATGCTTGACAGAAAGGGTTCTCCTTATGGTCTGACTTCCAATTTTTACGAAGCTTTTCTAGGTCGTGCGAAGGCATTGAGGAAACTATTGGTGTACAACCTTCATGTCAGGAATCCTTAACTTCATGGATTTCTGCAATGACGATTTCAGGAAACAAGTACTTCGGGGAGATTTTGCGAATACCTTTGGCTGCTATTAAGGCTTTACTTGAGGCTTCATGAACAGTGAAGGCTTCGTAAAGCTTCATGTCTCTGCGGATGCTGCCCAATTCTTGCAATGCTCACTCATGACAATTACCGTCTGATGATCAAGTGACTAACATGCGATTGGGTTTGAGAGATCTAGCTGAATCTGGCTGATCTGCGGCCCTTTGCCATCTGGCACCATGTTTAAACGCGACAGCTTCTCAAGGCAAATTGGCTCCCCGCAGCATGAGCAGATTCATCAGTGCCTTCTCAATCCGGCGACATGTCTGCTCGGCCATTTGCCTGGCAGACTCACAGCAAAATCTTCTGCAGGCATGCAAAAATGGGCTGCATGGCTGCCAGCCCGACGCCAGGTACCCGCCACACCCAGCCCGCAGAGACGATCACATGCCCACACATCCCAGCTACAGCCGGGCAAAATCGTCCTCGATTGTTAATATTATTCTTCAAACTGTTGCTCAATCAGCTCCTTTGTACCTGCACAACATTCCGGGCCCCCCAAAAGCTTTCAGATAACAAGCACACTCTCTTTTCCAATCAGTCCATGCCTTTCACTGGCTAAAAAATACGCATACCACTGCACGCGTGTGGCTACCCCTTCTGCCCCTAGCCATTCGCTCCAAAATATCAATTGTTGGAGGGGAGCGGTGCTTTATATACATTGATAGAAATGAGCGCTTTATGAAGAATCAAGTGGACACAAGACGCCAAAGATACTTATGATATCCAGCTTGCATACACTAAGTAGCAAGGCGGGCTTCAAACGCCAAAACGCTTGTTCAGGCTGACGCTGCGAGAGCTTCAGAACAAGTCAACCGGTCACCGGTCTCTGTGGTGTAGGAATTGTGGTTTATGACGTTGTACGGCATGTTTTTGACATCATACGTGCCATAAATTTGGGCTTTCCAACCTCACGTAACGCCAGTACGAGGGATGCTGGAGATGTGGCTTCAAGTTATGCTCATGATGCCGGTTTGCAAGCATTCAAGGAAAGAACAAGGACCTAGCTCGTGAGCATTGTTTGATTCCTGCGCGTCGTCGTCTTCATGCTCCTTCGGCATGATTCTACGACCCAGTACGTCTTTCCCCTATTGACATCCGCTAGTGTGCTTCCGCGGATGTTGGTCGACCCCAACTCTCCCTTTGTTCAATCTGCCTAGGTCTGCTGAATCATAAAAACGTTGCAAAATGTCTTCCCGCCACTAACGCGGAAACGTGTCAAAGTACAACATGTCATATCTTGAGCCCACAATCCATGTCACGATCGCACTCTACTAAGATGAACATCCCCGACATTTGTTATTCAGGTGAAATATCAACAAAACTCATGTTACAAGCGATAAACGAAAAAATTGGACATCCAAACAGAAACATGATGAAAAATGTTCTACTTGCCAAATTTGGACAGTCGAAGCAATGCAACTGCCATAGCTTTTAGACACTGGAATCCTCTTGGATTTTGAAAATTGTCAACAAGCACAGGGATCTTGGGGGCACTGTCGTATGAAAAGTGTGGACAGTCACCGGGATTGCGGCGGTCAGGGTATGTCGGGGTCGCGATCCTTGTCACTGTCGTCGGTTCGGGTCCTCGGACACGCGGCATTCAAGCAACAGGTGGGCTTGGCGGGCCGCAGCCACCCCCAATTTGCCAAGAAATGACGCTTGGATGACACGCGCACATCGCTGCTCTTTGAGGCAAACATTCAGGGCTTTGATGAAGCGCAAGGCGTTGAGGAGGTTCAAACCCCCCTCTGGAAAGCACAGCACTCTTTTTCTCAACCTTCAGCAAACACGGCCTCAGAGTGCAGCAACTGTTCGACCCTATAAAAGCCTGGATCTCCGCCCAACACTAGCCAATACAGCCCAGCAAAGGGGATCCTTCTCCAGGTCTTGCGGGTCTACTAAAGATTTATGGGGCTCTAAATACACTCCCTGTTTGGACTTAGTCCAAACCTACGAAGAGCCTACACGGGACAGCGCTATTCACAGTATCCCTATTCCTCAAAACTAGGCCTGATGAAGGTTCTGGGGACTACAGGACTTAACTACTCCAGGGGCTTGCACACAGGGCAGGGGCGAAGGATGCGCAGACCTGCAGCACCCCGGAGATTGGGACAGTCCCGAATGTGATAGCACTCTCCGCCCTTTGGAACGATGGCGAAGAAGTGGCCAGGAGAAGAGGTCGCGCGGCGGCGACGGCGAGGTGCTGGATCAGTAGATCCAGAAGGCATAGATTCAGGCTCCGGTTCAGGAGCAGCAGTAGAGCTCGAAGAGGCCCTTTGACGAGCGTGGGGCGCAGGAGGCTGGGGAACAGCCAGCACGGGATCAGGTTCAGGGGCAAGCGGAGTAGGAAGCGCTGCAGGGGTCCGGCGGGTCAACCGACGCCACCAGCTCAAGGCCGCACTGAGGAACCACTT